AGACCGTTCTCCCCACTTTGGCATCTTCTTATTGTGAATAGCCTGTACAGCAGCCCTTCAGTTCGCAGTCGAGGCGAGCTGCAGGATTAGCTGAAGTTTCTGCTGAATCCTTCAGCTCCTTTGTAAATAACCCCCTATTATGATGCCCCCAGAGAATAGCAGTACTAGGCTCTCAACCTAATGGTTAAAAAATTTGTACCTTTTATTCTACTAATTAGTAATAAATGATTCACAGATAGCTGTGGATCCACCACTAGGAAATAATTGCTGACCATAGTGCTTTTCAGCAAAGAGAGTAATATGTCTCTTTTTGGTACATGTGAGTGCAATATTTGCTATTTACATAATAAAGTGTCACTGCAATAATGCGTTAGGTTGGTTCACACTTTTCTTTTTTTATTTAGTACTTTTAAAAAAAATTCCCACACTCAAAAGGCTGCAACAACTACACTTCACAAGGAGTAAATATTCCACCTACATTTAATTGTTCACTGTTGACCTGTCTAAAAAGAAATCTTGATCTGAATAGTAATTAATTAAAATTTTATTGGCATTTCCCTAAGCCTTTTTTGTCAGGTGCTCCACCCGCCCACTTTTTGATGGCTGCTTGTCTTCTGCAGAGCCCACTTGGTGATAAGCACTGTGCACCATGATATGCTGTGTCCCCAGTCTGTATGAATTGGAGGCAAGACAACACATCAGGGACCACTGCCTCTGTTCTATCACATGGGTCTGTCAACCCCCTTGTGCTAGTCACTGAATTAAGTAGAAATATTTTTTAAAATAAGGAAACAAAATAGTTAAAACATACACACCAGTGACCTGCGGCACCTCTTGTTCTGGGTGAGGCATTCCCCAGCACGTCACACCCCTCCCCCCGCCTTCCAAAGCCCCGCCGTCGACGGAAACCCCGCCCCCACCGGACAAAGCAGCGCTCCGTCCATGACAGGTTGCACAGCGGGGAGGATTTCCCCGCTGTGTAAGCTGTTAGATGCCGATCTGAATGGAGAAAAAGCTGTCAGCTTCAGACTTGAAGCTGACAGCTTTTTCCTCCATAATTCTAGGTGAGGCTCTGCCTCACATGCCTCCCCTGAAGCACGATTTTGCGGTTAGATATATTTGGTATTTATTAACTCACTAGTCTCCTCTTCTTTATTTAGTGGAACATTTTTAGATTATATTGTATTTGTGTGCACAAAAGAAGAAAAAAAACAAGAGGGGAATTTATCAAAACTGGAACAGACAAAATCTGGAGCAGCTGTGCATGGCAACCAATCAGCTTCTCTTTCTTTTTGAAATCTTAACTGAACAAACTAAAAAGAATAGTTGATTGGTTACTATGGGCAACTGCTCCAGATTATGTCTGCTCTAGTTTTGATAAATTCCACCAAATGTATTTTTGAGATCATTCAGAGTTCATTGACAGGTGTACTTGATCTAGCTTCTATTCTACTATTGTTGAAAAAAATACCAGACAAGCCATTTTGCAATTTAATGATATAAAATAAATAACCTTTCCATTTGAATCAACAACCAGCTACAATTTTCAAAAACTGGCAAACAAGTTTGTGTATGTTTCTTCTGTGCAACTATGATAACTGAGATTGATTTAGGCTCCATTCACATATAGTATTTGCGTTTCTCGCATGGTTTTCCGTGTCTTTCATTTGCACGGATTCCGCTCGTTTGTGTCTATTACTATAGCCGTGAACGTGCGGAATCCATTAAAAAATTGCACTTGTACTATTTTGTGGGCCGTGCGGTTTTGTACTGCTTGGCCGCCTCAAAAGTCTGAACAGTGCACATTAAAGTGCATTGTGTTTTATGTTTAGAGCAGCTCCACGGGTATTTGGACGGCTGAATACGTGTGGACCACCACTCCTGAGTGAATGGAGCCTTACTAAAAGAGTATAGCCTATTCACTTTGCATAGTGATTTTTTTTACTTTGCAGGTTCAATTTTCATTTCTCTTACTTAATGTGGTCAAGCCAAATAAAAATGTACTTTTCAAAGAATACTTGTTTATGTGCAAACAAAATAAAAATCAGGATTTTTGCTTGCATCATTTGATGTTTGAAGTCAGCACAGCGTTATCTCGTTCACTAACCTAAGTAAAAATTCACTTGTCATTGTGAAACATGCTCTACTTCATAGTAAATCAAACCCTTATAAAATCTCATATTCTGTTGTTCTCAGATGCCTAAAAAGAGACTGAAGTCACATTATAGGTGTTCCCAATAAAAAAAACTTTTGTAGGGTTGTAGGGGGATGAGGGGATGATGAGGGGGTTCAGAATCCACTGTTTTTTCTTATAACACATGCTATCCATTAGATGGATATAATGGAGGAAAATCCTCCCAATTGTGTTACAGTCAGTCAGTAAAGATGTAATTAATTCAAAAATCATTGCAATATCTATAATCCCCCTGGGGGGGGGGTTTTTGGGGGGGGGGGGGGTCAACAAAATTGTATTTTCTGTTGTATAGTTGATGAAGTTAAATTTTTCCCTAGAAATTTAGGTAAATGATCATTATATATGATCACTATATAATTGTTCACCATTAAAAATGTTCTAGCAGATTTATCCCATTCAAAGCACTGCCATGACCCGATTATGTGTTTCTATGGTTGACCCAGCCAGGCCTGACAAAAGAAATCTGTAAACCTTGACCATGATTGCTCCATATAAGAAAGCCTGATTGTTCCAAAATGAAACTTCTACAGTATTAGGAAAATCGTACGCCACAGTGCATAATTCAGCTTTTCTTCAATCCTTTCCCTCAAACTCTGCCCATTTTCTTTTTCTTTTCAATGTCAGGATCAGTAAAAGGTTTATTTGCCAAAATGGAACAAACATATGTAATTGCTATAAAAATAGAATAGAAGAATGTCTTAATTAAAGGGGAATTAGACCCAATCTACAGGCAAGGGTTATTTGCTCTATTTTCCTGTAATTGCTCAGTAAAAAGGACCCACATTTGTCCTTCGTCAGTAAGTCGCAACCCATGTCGCACTGCAATAGAACGCACAGCATTAGGGTACCGCACGTTCTGGTGCGGGCGTACGAACTGTGGGTGGGAGGTGCGTTTGGGGTACCACTCAAATGAATGGCAATGCAACACACCTCCCACACCAGAATGCATGGTAGGTGCGATTGTGTGGTACAGTGCGTTAACCGCACAGCACTATGCGATTAACGCACTGTACTAGTGTGAACGGGCCCTAAAAAACACTGACACAATCTGACACACTCACAGACATTCTGACACACATACACACTCCAAAAATGTTTTAATTGAAATTCATTTTTTTAACGAGAAATGGAGTGGATCCTCAGTCTGGGGTCCAGTGTGGGCTGTTGTGCTGTGACAGAGCTCCATCCATATGTGCATTGCTTGTACAGCTCCCTTGAGCGCCCTGCAGAAGGTGATGTTACATTGGCACCTCTATACGACATGTGAGGGAGCTGTAAGCAATGCACGCATGGATGGAGCTCCCTCACGGCAATAGCCCCATCCCACCCCACCTCAAGCTGACACTCGGCGATGGGCAGCATATTTTGAATGGCTGCTTGGTGTGAGAACTGACAGTGCTGCGCTAGGGGGAGGCTGAGAAGCCTCTCACCTAAAAAAGTGGAAGGCATGCGGCGACCCACTGAACATGGGGTCGCGACCCACTTTTGGGTCACGGCCCACCAATTGAGAACCAAGGCTCCAAACAATACTAGTTTGTACTAGTACTTCGTTATTTACAGTTTATAGAGAATGGTAGGGAAAACAAAACATGTCCAATAAGTGGTAAGTTCTGTGGGATAAACAACTTTCCTAATGAAAGAGGTCGGAGGAAAATTACCTAACTTATTCAATTTGACAGACAGTCTAAAACGTCTCAGAGAGGCACTGTTTACAACAAATGCAAAAGTGCATCACTAAACACAAAAGTTACAACTTGATGAGGATGGGCTATAGCAACAGAAGACCATAACAGGATTCACTCCTGTCAGCTAGGAAACAGGAACATTGGCTACAATAGGTATAAACATCACCAAAACTGGATAATAAAATATAGGAAAAATGCTGCCTGACTTGCCAAATCTCAACTCTTGGCAAAGCATGCAGATGGTGAGCTCAGAATTTGGCAGACACATCGCAAATCCATGAATCCTCCATCTTTCTGTCAACGGTTTAGACTGGTGATGGCAGTTGTGTAATGAGACAGGAAATGCTTCTTGGGACACAACAGATGCCCTAATAACAGCTAAACATATTTTGAGTGCCATACTATACCTGAGTATTGTTGCTGACCATGTGCACTCTTTACAAGTACTGGATAGGTGTATCTATGTCAAGCTCAAGTTCCTTATAAATCTTTCAACTCTGAAAGCTGGCAAACAGCTATGTTGAATAGGGACCTACCTAACTGGATACAAATTGGATCATTTAGGAAGGCACTATATCTGTACAATCTGCTTCAGAATTTACTGATTCTACGTAATATGGGGGCCTATCAAAGACATCCATTCAATTTGCACTCAATCAGACCTGCCCTTGCAATACAAAGTACTTGGCAGAGCTAAAGGGAATTGTACAAACAGATTATAGCATGTAGGTTCGGATTACTGCAACTGTACAATCAAATTGTAAAATGTGTATTCCTAGAAATCTGCAATTCACAATTGATAAAAGGCCCCATACATACATAAGAAGACCACAGAAGGATTTTATTGGACAAGTTTACATGTATGTTAAAAAGTCAAAGCCTGACATTTGCTTTTAAACTCTTAAGTACAAAAAAAACAACAACAGAAAAACAACAAAAGGTTAACCTAATAGATATCAGATATTTGCTTCTTGTAATCAAGGCTAAACTTTATTGCAAAAGATTATTTGCATAGTATATGAGCAGAAGTGAACCTGAAATGTAAAAAACTATACACAACATGTATCTTTTTTTTCCTATAGACAGTGCTGTTTAATGAATTTTAATTTCAAATAACTTACTTGCGCTTTTCTGTCTCAAACCTAGTGAGAAGTCTCCTGAGGCCGCCACTCTTAAATCCCTGAGAATGTGCTGCTGGGGCTCCAGTGGTAATGACATCATAGAGGGCATCTGGAGAAAAAAAAAATCATATAAGCACTTATTCTGAGCACAGCCAGGCAAAGTGAGAATAAGTCCTCAGTCAATGAAATAGAAAGAGTGCATCCATATTATTATCAAGTGATTAATTAACCCGAGCCAGCAGGGCCTGAAAGTTTGGAGATAGCTAGTTAATCTTCTCTCGAAAGTACATCTAACTAGATTTTAATAGTCACCAGATCCCTAGTTACATCTTTATTTTGCATCACGGCGTGAACCAATATGTTATAGTTTGCCCAGTTAGTAAAGAAATGTTTGAATTATGCATTAATTAAATGTAAATGAGACATTGCTAAGTATGCATATTTGTCATTATGTACAAGACTGCCTTTGGTCTTTCAGAGATGCAAGATGCTGAGACAGGCAGCAGAATCTTAAAATGAGAAAGCTTAAATACAGCAATAAAAGTTTTGCTTGAGCAAACTAAAAACTTTTTTTGCATAAGGTAAATTATGTTAATTGTTAGTACTGTAACCTCGACTAGATCATTTAGCAATCATAACAGTCGTAAATTATTATTAAATATAAGAATAAACTCTTGTATAATTGTGTACCAACGCATCACACCTATATTTTCAATTCAGCTTGAAAGTGTATTTCCACTTTTGCAGTCAAACTTGAGAAAACCTGAGTATGTTCCCATTTCCACAACATTGCTAAAAAAGAAATAAAACATGTCTAGCCTTTCAGATGTTTCTTTGATGATGGTCCCTGCACAGATTCCAAGCTACTCTGAGCAGTTGGAAAGTGAATGTAGATGGACAAACTGAGGGACAGACCGACCTACCTCTCATTAACATGCAATGGGGGAATTTACTAAGACTGGAGCAAACAGAATCTGTAACAGCGATGCATAGTACCTAATCAGCTTCCATCTTCAGCTTGTTCAGTTAAGCTTTGAAAATGAAAGATAGAAGCTAAATGTTTGCCATGCACAGTTGCTCCACATTCTGTCTGCTCCAGTCTCGTAAATTCCCCTCAATGTCTTTAACCCTTTGTTAGGACAGACAGTGTTCAAATCTAGTTTACAACTGATAATGAAATCTGCTGACACAGCACAGACAGGGTTAATTAGAATAAACCTAACTTCCCATAGCCTCCTACTTAATATTACATAGAGGGGAGGAGTTTTAAGTAAAAAATACTTAAAAATGGAAGCAGCAATTTTAAAATATTTTTTAATTTATGCAATGTGAATGGGAACATGTGAACCAAAGAGAAAACCGCATTGATAAATCCACAGACCAACGCATTTACATCCTGTCACACTTGTCTTCCCCATCCTACAACCAGACATCTTTAATGTGTTTCATCCGTTTTGGCTTAATCATAGAGATAGAGGCTATAGAGAGGGATTCTTATGTGCTTCAGTAATAAGAACAGCGGATGGTCAATCACAGTTAGGCCCCTTTAGCACTGTCTGATCAGGAGGGGATCCATGCACAGATCCCCTCCTGATCGGACGGTACAGATTGGATATCACTGCTGTGACATCCATGTCTGTCCAGTTTTTTCCTCCATTTATCGATGGAGAAAAAGAAACTGACATGAACGAACCCCATATTGGTCTATGGGGAAGTGAATATAAACGGAAATGTGTCCGTTTACAACAGATGGCCCCTGATCCGGCACAGTCAGGTCCGGCAAAACGGAACACTGTTCCGCTAATTTATCCAAACCTGGCCAGAGCTGGTGGGTGACCAAATATAGCAGGATGCCCATCCGTTTAGATCCGGCTGCCCATAGACTTAAATTGGGCATATGATCAGGTCCGCTTGAAAAATTTACAGGCGGACTTGATCAGAACACCCATCTGAAAGGGGCCTTACTCTTTCCACACCTACTCAGAGTTCAGCCATCTCCAACTCAATCCTTATAATCTCTGTAACAATTCCAGGCTGTCATTCCATGTATCACTTCTCACATAACCAATAACACTAACAAGGTTATTCACAAACGGGTGAAGAGTTTGGAGAAGGCAGGAGAAGTGAACCATCTAGGACAACATAGCTGAACTGGAAAGTGAGCTGAATTGGAAAATATTTCCAATTCAGCTATTTTGGCCTGGATTGTTCACTTCTCCTGCTTTCTCCTATCTCTTGACCCTTTAGTGAATAACCCTCAAAGTGTCTATTAATCGGATACATATACAATTGTTTTAAAACAATCACAGTGTATCTATTTCTCTCAAATTCACATGCTGTATTAATCTCAATGCATGAATTACCATTCCTCACTGCAAACAGAATTCCTCCCTACAATTAAAATCAACCTATAATGTATTATGCATTTAAAAGAATCAGAATCTGTAAAAGCCGAACCCTACAAAGTTAAACAATCTAAGACATCTTCATAAAAACCTACATTCATATAAATACATACATATAGTATGTTCCTTACTACAATGTTCCACTCTGCATACTGGCCTCCATATTCTATTCACTAAGCATCCTCACCCTGTCCACTGGACTATGTGTTCTGTATCACTCCACTTTGCATGCAGTATACACCACATCACCGTATTTTGTACACTTTGTTCTGCACATTGCTCTCTAAATTATCTCTAAATTATATACATCACTCTAGACACTGTGCTGTACATTCTACACTGCACCTCTCCACTATGTTCGTTGTACTTTATATACTTCAAAACACTTAGAGGATTATTCACAAAGCTGCCGAAGGCAGCCGAGTGAATAACCGGCCCAAAGTGAAGTGAGCCAAATGCTGTTCAGGCTAATTTCAGATTTACAAGGGCTGAAAATAGCCGAACATCGGCTTGCTTCGGCTGGCTTCGGTTCAGTCGAACATGCTCAGCATTTTCGGCTGAACCGAAGTGCAGAAGGAGTTCGACTCAGCCGATCCAACATTTGGATCGGCTGAGCCGAACCTCCGGCAGGCTACTTGCTGCCGTTCAGCCTATTCTCATAGGGGCCGAACGGCAGTGAGTGAATAGCTGAAGGCCGCAGAACGGCTTTCGGCTCGGCTATTTTGTTCAGTACCTCCGTGGTACAGAGCAGAATAGCAAATCAGTGCAAAAAGTAGCAAAAAAAAAAGAGTAGATAAAAAGATTTCCAAAAAAAAGACCAAAATAAAGATAAAAAAGTAAAAAAATTAAGATCATTGAAAAAACAAAAATGAAGATCAATGAAAAAAGAAAAATAAAGATCATTGAAAAAAAATAAAAATAAGAAACAATTGGGCGGAGCTAGCAGTGACAGCTAGCTCCGACCAACTGTTTCCTATTGGCCGGGACCTGTTAGATTCTTCAATGAATAACAACTTGGCGGAGCTGGCTGTGATCTCAAGGCTGGCTCCGTCAGTGACAGATCTGTCATTGCAACTGGCCGGAGCCAGCCGTGAGATCACGGCCGGCTCCGCCAAGTTGTCATTGTGTAATGACAGTTCAGCGTCCCCAGGTAGCCTGGCTCCGCCCAGCTGTCAGTTGCAAGGCTTTCGGCCGGCTTCGGGTTGCACCTTGGCTAAGTTGAGCCGAAGCATATGCCTTCGGCTCGACTGAGCCACTCGGCCAACTTCGGGAGCTGTACGTGCTATAGTGAATAGCCCGTACAGCAGCCCTTCGGTTCTACTGAACCAAAGGGCTCCGGCGGCTGAAGCTGGCCGAAGGATCAAAAGGATTCAAACTTCTCCACTGTGTACACTCTACAGATTAGTATATACCCTGCTATGGTCTACTGTCCTCCCTGAGATAGTATATTATTTTACCTGTTGTGTCCAAATGGGCACACTTTTGCTAGTATGTTACATTATGGCCGTAATTTGCTCTCTAGAGCAGCCATAATTAGCCGAGGAGCCCAATCACTAGTTTGTCTGAAGGGAGAGCATCCCAGCTCTTTTCTGAAGGAGATCTGGCAAATTCTTATCAAGTATATCCATATCCTGAAAGGAGGCAGCAGTGCCCAGTAACAAGCACTTCTACGTTAGGTGTCAGGTCATCATGGACTGTCTTTCCCTGAACTCAATCTTCAGGGTATAGGATAGCAGTCTGAGTCCTCTGAGCCATTTCCAAACAAAATCTTCAAAACTGGCTGAAATGTTATTTGCATAATAAAACCCTGACTGAGAAAAACTGGCCATGCACTGGTAGATTTTTGTAAAAAGGTGCATACTTAAAGGCCCATCAGAACACTTGATAATGAGACTTGATGAATGTCATTCAAAATGTTGTTTGCTTTTAACAATTGATTTTAGAATTAATTTTTTTCATTTGAGAAAAAAATTCAACCTGCTTTGTTATTTTTCACCACTACAGTCGCGACCCCAAATAACTATTAGCAAATCGAAGAAATGTTTAGAAAAAAAACACTTTTTTAAACAAAATTTGACTGGTTTAAGCAGTTACAAGAAAAAGAAATATAATTGCTGCAATTCCTGGTCAGAGTTCCGACCGTATGAGAGTCTCTTGGGTCCAAGTACTGTACAAAAAGCTTACTCTTGCTCTAACTCAATAAACAGCAGAACAAATACCACACAACTATGGGTGCCAGTGATCTCCACCGTTATCAATGAATCTTCATTCCAATAACACAGATGAGCCCCGCCATACAGCTGCATGGCTCTAACATGTTTTAACACAGACTTAAACATAGAGGACCTTTATGATTAAGCCTGTGTGGTGAAACATGTTAGAGGTGTCTGGCTGTATGGTGGGGTTCATCGGTGTTACTGGAATGAAGATTCATTAATATAGACGGTGGCTGGTGGCTGCCCGTGCTTGTGCTGTATTTTTTCTGCTGTTTATGAAATTCTACTGGTGTACAGCTAGATGAAGTAATGTTGCAGTCAGGATCTATTCTGTTAGATTCTACCAAAGAACTTGCATATCTTCAAGAACACGTTTTTTTAATTATCGATTAAGAAAATGGAAGCAGCATAACATGACCTGCTCCACAGCTTCTTAACACTCAAGAGTGAAATGAAAATAACATCTATTAACAAAGACATAAAGAGAT